CAACTGCACTACCTTCATCCACCCTCTCCATTACTTCATCAAAAAACTATCAGGTTTGTTAGACACGATTTGCCTTTTACCAGTCCATGTTGACTGTCCTTTATTAACCCATATTTTTCAAAGTGGGAATTTATTTTGTCTCGGGTTTTAGTCTCTAGAAGTTAGGCTGACTGGCCTATAGTTCCCAGATTTATCCTTCTGCCCCTATTTAACAGGAGAGTAACATTTGTAACCCTCCAGTCCTCTGGCACCTCCCGGTGTCCAAGGAGGATTGAAAGATTGTGGCCAGAGACTCTGTTATTTCTACCCTCACTTCCATCAGTAACCTAGGATGCATCCCATCCGGACTGGGAGACCTTGAGCACCGTTAACCTCTTTAGTACCTCCTCTCGGTTTATTCTTATCCAAAATCCCTACCCTTCCTCCTAAACTGTGGCATTGGCTGCATCCTCTTCTTTTGTGAAGACAGGTGCAAAGTGCTTATTCAGTACGTCAGCCTCCACAAGAAGATTTTGTCTTTGGTCCCTAATTGGACTCACCCTACCTTTGACTTATGGTTTATTCTTTATATGCTTATAAAATGTTAGGGATCCCTTTTATGTTACTCGCTAATCTTTTCTCATACTGTCTCTTTGCCCCTTTTATTTCCTTTATCAGTTCTCCTCTGTACTTTCTATATTCTATTTGATTATCTTCTGTATTTTGGACCTGACATTTATCATAAGTGTCCCTTTTTTGTTTTATTTTAATCCCAATTTCCTTATTGGTCCAGAGAGGTTTGGATGCCCTTTGTGGGAATGTATTTGTTCTGTCCCCAAACTATCTCTTCCTTGAAGGCTTCCCATTGCTCATTAGCTGGTTTACCTGCCAATCTTTCTTTCCAGTCCACCTTGGTTAGATCCCTTTTTAACTCACTGAAATTAACCCTCTTCCAGTTGAGTATCTTCACCTTTGATTTTTGCTTGTCCCTTTCCATAAGTACTCTAAACCTAATGATGTGTCCAGATGCTCTCCTACTGAAACCTGCTCCACTTGCCCCACTTCATTCCCCAGAACTAGATCCAGCACTGTTTTCTTTCTCGTTGAGCTGGAAACATACTGATCCAGACACTTAACCTGCACACATTTCAGGAATCCTTCCCCCTCCTGGCCCTTTACACTGTTATTTTGCCAGTCTAGGTTCGGATAATTGAAGTCCCCCATTACCATTACTCTATTGGTTTCACATCTTTCTGAAATCTGCTTGCAGGTTTGCTCGTCTATCTCCTTCTCACTATTTGGTGTTCTATAGTATACACCTAACAGAGTAACAGCTCCATTCCTGCTCCTTAACTCTAACCAAAGGCAGGGCGAAACCTTGGGCAAGTTTCCTTACTCCACACGCCTAATAATAATCCCTCCAAAAAAAAAAAAAACAATAATAAAATTGGCATTTTCAATCTACGACTGTTTGTGGGCCTTTGCTGTGCGCAATTGGCTGCCGCGTTCGCCCACAAATTTACAGTCAATTCACTTTACAGTGTGTTCTGTGAAGCGCTTTGGGACGTCCTTCCGACGTGAAAAGCGCTATATCAAATGCAAGGATTATTATTATTATTATTATAAATAGATTCTGCTTTTGGACCCTCAAGCACATCGTCCCTTTCCAGGGCCGTAACTGTGTCTTTAATCAACATTGCCAGCCCCTCCTTTTCTTCCTTCCTTAACCCTCCTGAATACATTGTAGCCAGGAATATTCAGTTCCTATTCCTGTCCTTATTTGAGCCAGGTCTCTGTTATTGCCACTACATCATAATTCCATGTGGCAACTTGAGTCTGCAGCTCACTAACCTTATTTGTCACACTCCGTGCATTTATACACATGCATTCCAAGACCGACTGAGTCTGCTCTGCATTTCTCCCCTGTCTAGTCCCTCCTTTTTTCTGGATTACTCCTTATTGCATTTCGTCTCTCCCAGCCCTCTATGTAACTTTTTTTTTCCTCTCTGAATCTACATCCTTCCCCCATCAAAATTAGTTTAAACCCTTCCCCACAGTACTAGTTAATCTCCCTGTGAGGACATTGGTCCCAACTCTGTTCAGGTGTAACTCATCTGCCTTGTACAGGTCCTACCTGCCCCAAAAGTAATCCTAAGGTTCCAGGAACCTGAAGCCCTCCTTTCTGCACGAGTTCTCCAGCCATGCATTCATGTGTTGGATCCTGCTGTTTTGATACTCGCTTGGACAAAGCACTGGGAGTAATCCAGAGATCACCATCTTTGAGGTCCTGCTCTTCAGATTTTTCCCAAGCTTCTGATACTCTCCCTGTCGGATCTCAGCCCTTTTTTCCCTACATCATGGATCCCAACATGGACCACGACTTCTGGATGTTTTCCTTCCCCCTATAGAATATTTTGCATCCGTTTTGTGATGTCTTCAACCCTGGCACCAGTGAGGCGACATACCATGTGAGAGTAACATCTTTGCCTTAAGATTTACGCTTCTCAGAGTCTGAAGTTCTGTGCTGTTTTGCTGAAACATCCCCTCATTTAGAAGACACTGATTAAAGAAACTCTGTAACAAGTCCCTACCTGAAGATGTTTGTTACATTTCTCACTTTGTCCTCTGTTCCATAGTTTAAACTTCCTTAATGTTGCAAACTCCTGATGGCCAGTCATAGCTTCTAAACACAGAACAACCGGTCTATGGATTTCTGCAGCATATCCAGCTGCTTCAATGATAAGATAGATTTAATGTATCTTGCAGAAGGAGTTAGCTTAAAAATAATGATAATAATTCCGTTTGATATCGTGCCTCATCATTTTGTCGAGGCATCTCAAAGTACTTCACAGGATTTACTATAAAGTGCAGTCATTGACTGTACAGGCGAATGTGACAGCCATTTGAACATTGTCTCATGAAGTGAATGACCAAATTTATCTTGCGGGATTTTCGACCAGCACACCTGGAGAAATCCACGTGAACAGGCAAATAGGACCTCGGTTTCAAGGTAACCTCTGAAGGACAGCGTCTCCAAGCAATGCAGTACTCTCCCAGCATTGCATCCAAGTATGGGATTTGACTCCACAATCTGCTGACTCGGAGGTGCGAGTGCTACCATTTAAGTCAGACTGACACCTTGAAAGACTGAATGGCTTTTCTCATTCCATAGTTTGTTTTACAACTGGGACCTTAGGAATTAATTCACTGTGTGTATCGCACAAAAACATGCATTGATGATGTTCCCGTTTGCCTTTGGTCACTGCCTTGCGGCAGTTTGAAAGGTGATGAGTGTTATCTTCAACCCCGTGGAATATTGACATTCTCCAGTGCACTAAGGCTCAAGTCTTCTGTCTGATGGAAACACATTGATTTCAACGTGACAGATCAGAGGGCTAAATCTCAGTGATGTCATAAGCTTTCAAGTAAGTGCAACCAAAAGGCAAAGAACATAAGATTGACTCTTTTCATTTTTAGATTGTAGTTGAAAATCGAGGCCTAGTAAGCCAGTTGTGCAAAAATTGTGTGGGCAGCAGGAGTTACAGATATCCTTAAAATAAAAGGATTATTGCTAATTTTATACACTATTTAAGAAATTATTATTGGTAGTTGTTAACTACAGAACAAATTGTTTTCAATGGTTAATTACAAATTCGCTCTGTACAGGTTGTTTACACAAAGTTTATACAGCCTGCATAATAGACGCCCAGTGTGAAGATTTGTTGTGCCTTCAAGTGTGATCTCTGATGTTTCTGTCTCAGTTTTCTTGTGGATATTTTCAGATACTTGCAATAGTTCAGGTATTGTTCATGTGATACTTTGTGCAGTTAAATGCAGCAGTATGAGATTTCAACAGTGATGTTGAGAAAATTCCGAAATAATAGACAGAACAGCACTTGTATCCTTGACAGGTTTCAGGAAGATTGTAAATAGGTTTTTGCAACTTAAATGTCCCATCAGATTTAATTAGAATTGTATGAGCATTTTGCTAATTGTGCCAGCACTTTTTATGGGCCATTATAATGACTGTGCTTTTCATAAGAGTAGAAGTCAGATTTTCCTTATTAAGAGAGACGCGGTTTTGTGGTTTACAGATGATTAGATGGGGAGAGGCAGGCTGACATTTTGGAAAGTGTCTAATTGGATGATAGGCACTTGTGTTGGTATCTTCAGGACAACAGTGCTTGTACGCTCCAGTTCCTTCAGTTTGAAAGCTGTTGTCATAAACGTCCAGAGCATTTTAGACTACAGTTAGTGTTATTTTACACTCTGCTTCTTATTCTTTTATTTCTGAGTTATCCCTACCCTTGTTAATGGTTCTGTCATCATTTATTTTAAATGTGTTGTCAAATTTATAATTGGCTGTTGCATTGAAATGAAGCCCTGCTGTACTACAGTATAATGCAGGGTGCAGAAAGCGCTTCTATTGCTGTGAACTGCTGGAGTGCAGCAAATTCAATATAGCACCTTTCGCATCGGGACAGTATCTCAAAGCATTTCATAGTGCTGGATGTGCACCCCGGCGAGAAGGAGGGGGTGATGTAGGAGACAAGGTGGAGGGGAAAGATGACTGAAAGTGCTTTGAAAGAGGTATATTTTAAATGTTTTGCCCATGTAGCAAATTTCAGACCATTGTTAAATCCAATTTTAAAAAAAACCTTTGTAACTAGATGCATGGAAATGTTTTCCTATATAGTGCAGTTCGTGAATATGAAGACAGATTTACCCTGTAGATTGATTTCTGTTAGTTACTGGATAGCAGCTACTCAAACAAACACATGCCAACTGAGACCTTAACATGTCACCAGAGAAGAGACTTTCATTGCATCTGCTTGGACAGGATTCAAGACACTGAAAGGACACTGTTTGATTATAGTCTCACTTTACATTTGATCGGTGTTCCTCATCCCTCCTATTCTGAACTCAGCGCTGTAGGGAAAGCGTAAACATGTTTCATAATTAATCATTTATTTTTACGAGCTGTTGCCTTGATCCATATTTCCGTCTGTTCTTCTTTTTAGACTCAGGCCAGCCTGTGAAGTTACCTTGCATGCCACCTATGAGGTTATCTCCGCCTCTACCACCAAAGAAAGTGATGATTTGCATTCCACATCAAGCCAGCGATCCTTCATTGACATCCTATTCTGCAGCACAGAAAGTCTCCCATCAGCCTCTGGGACAGCAACACCATCAATTACTCCCTTCCCAGCTCGCAGCTCATCAGCACCAGCTGCAGTACGGAGCTCCACACTCTTCAGCTCTATCCAGCGGACTATCTATCCACCCGACAGTACCTTCTAGTAAAGTGATAGAAGAGCTCAACAAGACTTTAGCAATGACAATGCAAAGGTTGGAAAGGTAATGTGCCATCCTTCATTTGTCCTTGATTTGCACAACTTTTGAGCTCGCACAGAGCAAGTGAAAACACAAACCCAAATGTGTAAGTACGAAAGACTGACAGGCGGACTATATAAGTATTATATGTGCTGAATATATTATTAAATCAGTATCAGAGAGAATAAGAGGAGCATTAGGTCCAGGGAATATAAGAATCCACACTTATGCAAAACGGAACTGGTTCCATTGAAGCAAAATTGGCAGAGTTGAACTTGATGTCTACAGTTCGAACATCTGAAAATATCTGGCAGAATTCAATGCAGGCTCATTCATACAAGAACTAAAGCTTGCTGGAGGCCAAAGGAAAACCAGCACATTCTCAGAATTGAGTGCTGCAGCAATCCTAAACACATACATAGCACTGATGGATGAGGACAAGATGAGGAGATGTGTACACACGAGTGGAGATAGCAACTGGGGAGAAAAGAGCAAATGAAAGTGAGCCAGCATCTAGGTCAGCTAAGGACAGATTATTTTATGTTGAAACAATAAGTACAAGGGTAATAGTAATAATCCTTGCATTTGATACAACGCCTTATCAAGTCTTTGAGATGTCTCAAAACGCCTCACAGAATAAACTGTAAAGTGGATTGACTGTATATTTTGTGGGCAAGAAGTGGCAGACAATATTGCCAAACAGGTAATAAGCATGTTAAACAAAGTAGCAGTTACTGTTACTGATAAATGACAGGTACTAATTTGTTAGTGTGACTGTTGGCTAGAGTGGCAGGGTAACAGCATAGTGTCGCTGACACTCTCTTTAAAGGCATTGAGTAAACTGCGGGATACATTTTGGGCCAGGAATAGGTTTTTTTGTCTGGCTTTTGCCAAATTTAAATTTGAGGAACTTTGGGTTCAGAAATTGCTTTAGTGCTCAACCTGGCAGAATTCAATGCATACAAGAACTAAAGGTTGCTGGAGACCAAAGGAAAACCAGCACATTCTCAGAATAGAGTGCTGAGGTGTACACTGGTTGGTGTTTCCCAGGTGTCTTTTCAGCAAGTTCTTCTGTGATAAAGTAGCTGTCCCTACGGCAATCGCATCAGCCTTGCTCCCACCACTTATTGCTATTTGTTGTGTTTTGGTAGTTCAGGACTGCATACTGGTGAAAGTGGAACCAAAGGCAGATCAAGCAACTCACCAGACATCCGACAAGTGCCGACAGTTGTAATTGAGTGTGATGATGACAAAGAAAATGTGCCTAATGAATCAGACTATGAAGAAAACTTCAGCATGGATAGGGATGAGGAGGATGACGATGACGATGGTGATAATGATGACGATGATGATGATAGCCTTTATACAAGTAAGAGCTGCGTTTTTGCTTGGAAACCTGTACTTTCACTGGAATTTATAATAATAATAATCCTTGCATTTGATATAGCGCCTTTTCACGTCATTGAGACAGTTCATAACTCTTCACAGAATAAACTGTAAAGTGAATTCACTGTATAGTTTGTAGGCAAAACATTTAAATGGGTCTAAATATATAAGCGCTCCAAGATGCTGCACCGCCTGAAGGGTACTATATAAATGCAAGTTGTTATTGTGTTACTGTATTTTCCTAGCATTTTGCAACTTCTTAAATGCAGTTTTATTTTTTAAGATGGTTTTCTGCTAGTTATTTTTAAGAACTGCTGTAAACCAGCTTCAAAGTTAAGACTGAATTCAGCAATTTTTCTAGACTCTGCACACCCTGAAATGCTAAGAAAATAGAGTAAATCTAGACACAGGTGGAATTTTTCCACCGATGGGTATAAAATGCAATATTCACACATTGGATTTGTCAGAATAATTGCAACTTCCAATTTGTGATTTACCTTTCTGGGATTCTTTAAATCAAAATCTGCCTTTTAAACCCCTGATATTGGTATTCACTACATTTTCGAGCATTTTGTTCACTGAAAACAGTTTGAAAGCAAAACACTGGACACAATTGCAAGTTTTGCAGAGCTTTGTTTGCAATATAATAATCCTTGCATTTGATATAGTGCTTTATTACGTTGTTGGGACATCTGAAAGTACTTCAGAGTAAACTATAAACNTTTTTTTAGTGGCCTACTCCACTGATTTTCTCTAATTTCTTTGTAGGCTCTCTGGCATTAAGAGTCTGTAGGAAAGATTCTTTGGCCATCAAATTGAGCAACAGGCCATCCAAACGTGAGCTTGAGGAAAAGAATATCATTCCGATGCAGACAGATGAAGAGAGACTCGAAATGAGGCAACAAATTGGAACCAAGCTGACAAGGTTAGTTATACAGCACAGCTCTTATTTGTTCGTATCATGTACTTTTACTTTTGGGAAGTATAAGTTTCTTAGTTCCTCACAATGTAATGCAAGAAGCAGGTATTCCTCAGAATGAAATTCATGTTTTAATACAACCAAAGTGATATTGATAAGTTGTTATATCATGCATACAACCGGGGATGCATAGTTCGGATTCAAAGGCGATCCAATCCTTCCTCCGTGAGAGGATGGTGACTGCTTTGTGTACGTCGATCTGCCCTCCTCCATCTGCCCTGGTGTCTTCCTCTCTCCGTCTCTGAGTCTCTTACACAGAGTCCTTTCCTCTCTTGAGTCACTTACACAGACAATCTAGGAGGAGTTTTTCTCTCCCCATCCCTATATAAAATGGCGGCCATCTCTTTCCACTTCACACAACACATTCTTCTCCTTCCCATGCGACCGCCTGACTCCCTGCTGCTGCGCCTGCTCCAACCCCTCACCAGGTGTCACCAGTGGTTTCACTGAAACCACTCCTGACCAGTTCACACTGGTTCTTTCTTTGTTTCCATATTTGCATTCCAGGCCTTCTCGATTGACACATTGACCAACACAACAAAGTCTCTCTCCCACGGAAACCATCCCGCCCGAGATGAGGAGACTTAATAGAAGTTTTCAAACTGATGAGGGGATTTGATAGGGTGAACAAGGAGAAACTATTTCCACTGGCGGGTGGATTAGTAACCTGAGGACACTGATTTAAAATAGTTGTTAAAAGAAACAGAGGGGAGGTGAGGAAAATTTTTTTCACACAGCGCGTTGTTGGGATCTGGAATGCATTATCTGAAAGGGCGGTGGGAGCCGATTCGATAACAACTTTTGAGAGAGAAGTAGATAACTATTTGGGGAGGAGAAGTTTCCAGGGCAATGGGCCAAGAGCAGGATAGTGGGATTGATTTGGATAGCTCTTTTCGAAGTGCCAGCACACTCGATGGGCCTGCTTCTATGTCCTGTATAATTCTATTAAACTATGACAACAAAGTCTCTCTCCCACGGAAACCAGACACCCGAGATGAGAGGGGGTGGCCGCAGTTGCGCTCTTTCTGCTAGGATCCATCAAGTGTGATCACCAAGCTCACCTAATCATCGGCTTACAGAAGTCCAGGCCAACATTCAAAATTTGCCAAGAAGAATATATAAATTGTTAATTTTATCTAATTGCCATTTCTGGACCATTGTCAGATTACGTGCTGTGTTTCCTACACAACAGTCACTACACTACACAAAAAATAACTCAATGTATAAAGAATTTGGAAACATTTCGATGTGGTAAGGCATAAAATCAAATTTAATATTATTATAGAGTATGGAGTCAGTGAGGTGATCTGGGGGAATTCAGCACTGAGGACTAATGAGTGCACTCATGCAACTGTTGTGACACAGCCTATTTAATTAGTACAAAACTCTCCTTGTATTTATGTTCATTTAGGTCTCCAGGCCTTCTCAGAAATGCCAGCCTCAGGTTAGACGAAGTGAGATGAATTAACATTGTGAGAGGTTGCCGTTCACACTCTCCTTGGTTCATGTGACTGTCTCTATAAAATATAGCTGACATAAAGGGGAATAATTAAAGAAGGTGTGCAGTGACAAAAAAACTATCCAGGCTATCAACTCTCTTCCTGCCCAGGCTATATATAATCTGCTACATGATGGTTTCCGCCCAGTAGCCTGCAGCAGATGTCCTTTCAACCGTCTCTATAATGCAAATTAGTAGATCAGTGAGTTGTTTTACAACTGAAGTCCTAAGTCACAGAATCATGCTTGTTGCTCTTTCTTTGATATATCATTCTTCATTGGAAAGCTGGAGAATGAAGAAATGTTACAATATTCTAAGATGAACACCTTTCAATGTCTCAAATGGCTAAAAGCATAACCACAAATAGTGGGATGGACAGGGTGGGTGATGTGAAGCAGGCCAGTGCCTGCATAGCGGAGGGAAAGGGTGGGTTGGTAAGCTTTTAGAATGTTTTGAAGGAAATGGGAACTGTACCAGCGGAGAGGGAGAGATTCACAATGTTCACTAGCAGGAGGTCAAGGAGCAGAGCTGGGTGGTCAGGAGAGGGTTGGGTTAATATCTGGTCAGGTCAGGAGGAGAAGATGCCCATACAGATTAGTTCTGTGTTCCCTTCTATTTGGTTATTCATAAATTATATGAAGCAATCATGTCCTCATCTGACATCTACAGATAGCACCCTCCAGCAGTGATCTCTGGATAATGAGACCATAGTCCCTGTTCCTAATCTAAGGATGCCAAGGCCAATATTTGGAAGGTCTCAGGGTTTATAATAATAATCCTTGCATTTGATATAGCGCTTTTCACGTTTCAAAGCACCTCACAGAATATACTGTTAAAGTGAATTGACTGTATATTTATGGACGAAACACAGCAGCCAATTGCACACAGCAGTGTCCCACAAACAGTCGCGGATTGAGTGACCAAATTATTACTTTATTTTTTTTCTTGAGGGATTATTATCAGGGGTGTGGAGAGTCCTGTAGCTCAGTGGTTAGAGCACTTGCTTTGCAAGCGAGAGACCTGAGTTCAATTCCAGGCAGGTCAGGGCGAAACCTTGGGCAAGTTTCCTTACTCCACACGCCTAATAATAATCGCTCCAAAAACAATAAGAAATTGGTCATTTTCAATCTACGACTGTTTGTGGGACATTGCTGTGCGCAATTGGCTGCCGCGTTCGCCCACAAATATACAGTCAATTCACTTTACAGTGTGTTCTGTGAAGCGCTTTGGGACGTCCTCCCGACGTGAAAAGCGTTATATCAAATGCAAGGATTATTATTATTATTATTAAGGCGACTGCTCTAACCACTGAGCTACCATATTCTGTACCGTAGTTATATCTGTACTCTGATTGTATTAGCTTTAAATCGGTCAAGCAGCGGGCCAGAACTGTGGCAAGGTACCTATGAATCTAGCAATGATTTGGAAAAATCCGATTAAACAAGATGGTAGTGAACAATCGTTTGCAGCCCCACTGGGATATAATGCTATCTTATGTACAGAACTTGATATATTACTGAGAGCTGCTGTCTGATTCTGATCAGCTTAGCTGTCTTGGTCCGTGTTCCTCATTCATTTTAATGGAATATGCCAGCTGAAAACAGCTGTGTACTGATTTTAATCCGCTCCTTGGGTGAATATATTCCTTGCTGAAGCTGATACCTTATTCTCCATCAGCCTGGCACAGTCAGGGTTGTACAGTAAACTAATCCATTTCAATAGCATTGCACAAGTGTTGTTCATTGCAGTTTGAAAGTTGGCAGGAGTCATGATCATATAAAAAACTGACTTATCCATAAGTGGCTGTTTTTTTTAAAAACAGCTATTGTTACCAGTTTCACGAGTACATAACATTGAATGCAGGCGCATACCCAATTTGATTCAAGGTCAATGCTTCATCAAGACTGTCCAAGCCACAACGTTTATTCCTTTGAACATCTTATCTTGACAATCTTAGGAAGCAACTGCTCCTTCTTCACCACCTCCTCAAGGCATAGCTCATCCCCACCAAAACAAACACAAGGATTATTAGTTGCCTATTAAATTATACTTTAGTTTGTTTAGCACATTAAAAAAGTTACAACACAGAAGTAGGTCACCCGGCTGATAGAGGTCTCTATTTAGTCGCATTCTCCTCCCTTTTCCTAATTTCTTTCAATGGAAGTCATTAAAAACGATTACGATTGTTCTTTAATTTGGGCCACCTCCGTTACTGAATGAGCACTCTGTGTGCATGTTCCTAACCCAAATTTGTTGCTTAATTTTCTGTTTTAAATGTTCTTGATTTCCCTACATTTCTAAATGAAATGCTTGACTTCCAAGCCCTAGATAACCTTACCTTCATGAACAATGCAACCCAAAAAATGTAGCACAATGATAAATATGGCAATTCTTTATTGCCAATGAGAAACATTGTTTTTCCTTTCTATTTACGCGTTGACATTTTGCAAGTCAAAATTAGAAAAAGTTTACAAGATATTTTATGTCAAACTACAGTATTCCATTCAGCCAGGTGATTTGGCTTGTAAATTTATATGTTGTACAACTTGTGTTAATTGTGAGGATAATTTGTTCTGTAGTGCTCAGCCAGTTATTCTGTGTTTTATAGCAACCTCATTGAAAACATTTCTTGTTAAAACAGGTTAATGGAAAACTCTGAGTGATTAGCCATTCATAGATATTGTCGTAAGATACACTGACTTACCCCTTTTGAAAACTCAATCACTCACTAAAATATTAACCAATAAAAGGAGCCTGAGAGAGAGACAGAGAGAGAGAAACTGAGTGATAGAGACTGAGAGAGAGAGTCAGAGACTGTGAGAGAGAATGAGAGACTAAGCTATAGAGAGGGAGACTATAGAGAGAGAGATTGAAAGTGAGAGAGACTGAGAGAGAGAAACTGAGAGAGATGCAGAGAGAGAGAGAGAAAGATCAGTTATTAACATATTGTTATGGTAATTATTGACAGTGAATCAGAGCTGTTTAGTAGTTCAAAGGTTAACATTATCAAACAAGACAGAAAGGTTAGAATTTTATCCTGCTTGCAAATACTTTGGATTGTTGGCCATCTGATTTCATTTCTTCCAAATTAATACAATAAGTTGGGTTCCAGACTCAACCATCCTTCCTTTTCTAGTCATTAATTACCCTCTCCATTTAGATAAATAAATACATCCTGATATCTGTCCTGAAATTGCCCTTTGCAACTATAAACCTGTGGCTTCTTGTCCTACCGTCTCGGTGCATACAAAAGTTATGTTCCGAATTTACTTTCTCATTCCCATTTAAAATTTTGTACCTCTATAAGTTCTCCACTGAGTTGTCTCTTTTCAAACTGAAGAGCCCGAGCTTGTCTAATCGCTGCTCATAGCCTGGGACAATAGAAAAGTGCTGCCGTAATTTTTCTGTGGAACCTGCTACAAACATCCCCCTCCATTAAAAACCTGTACAAACACTGTGAGCTCGGGGCTACAGGCCTCTGCGCGCGGCTCCCAGCTGATTACCCATTGTTACTGTGGGCGAAGAGGCTCCGGACGCACATGCGAGGTGCAGGCTGAGTGGGAAACAGGTTTCACTCACCCGAGGCCCCACTGTTGAGAATGTCTGTCTTCCTCTTCTATATGTGTCTGTGTATATTTCTGTTCATGTGAGTGTGTCTGTGAATGTGTCTCTTGTGTCTGAGTGTGTCTGTGAGCATGTCTCCTCTGTATGTGAGTCTCTCCTCTGTTTGTGAGTGTATGTCTCACTCCTCTGTATGTATGTGTATATGTCTCTCTCTGTGTCTCTGAGTGTCTGTGAGTGCATGCCTTTGTGTTTGTGTCTGTCTCTCTCTTTCTGGGTATGTGCGCGTGTGTCTTTCTGGGAGTGTGTGTATCTATGCGGTGGCTGGTCCGAGAGTGGGTTCCGAGAGGCAGGAGATAATTACTTCCTGGAGCCCTGTCCGAGTTACACCACCCAGGTTCGTTAAAGAAAACATAAATTTTTATTGCAATAATCTAACGTGGTATTTTTTCATGTTTAGTTTTCATCAATAAAGTGAAAAAATGTAGGTTAGCAGTAAAATGTACCTCTCAATAGCACCAATCAACTCCCTGCAATTTTCTGTCAAATTGCCCACAAATTTTAGAAAAGTGTAGAAAAATTTCCCCAAAAATGCGGGGAAATTTGAATTTTGCGGGAAGTTGCAGGGAAAGGTTTGACAAATTTTGCATAAATTTGCAAGGAGTTGATTGATGCTATTGAGGTACATTTGCTGCCAAACTAGAAATGCTTTGCGACATCTAGAAGACGTGATAAGCCGTTATATCAAGTGCAAGGATTATTATTATATAGAAGAGACACACTCACAAATGCATACATACAGAAGAGAGTGACACACAGACACACACATAGTGTTACGCTTACACACACGCACACGCGTGCGCACACACGCACAATCTTGCACACACACAAAGTTCAATCACAACAGCAGGGTCTTCAAACGAAGCCCATTTGCTGCTCGCACCACACATGTGCATCCGGAGCCGCCCAGCCCACAGTGACTTCAGGTGTACAGCGAGAGGCCTGGGATGGCTTTGTATACAATACTCTAGGTGGAGCCTGACCAGAGCACAGAAACCTTGAACATTACTTTTGGGGATCTGAAATGATTTGGCAGTATACGCTCCTCATCATATTTGCCTTATTTATTGCTGGCTCACAATGTTTCATGCTCATTGTACTTTTCAGATTATACTGTGAAGGTTTTGTGACGTCCTCTCAATGTGAAAGGTGCGATACCAAATGTAAAGATTATTATTTGCTGCTTCTTTGATTCCACAGTTTCCTCCAATTTGGCATCATTAATATAATAATAATATAATCATTGCATTTGATATCACATCATTGATATGTCTCAAAGCGCTTCACAGAATATACTGTAAAGTGGATTGACTGTATTTGTAAATATGTTGTCGCTGAAGAAATCCTGCAATGTATGAGAGGAACCACAGGTTTCCACATTTGATGTGCAAGTACTCGGGCTCAAGAAAATCAGGAAGCAAGCGGGGGAGGAAGGAAATGATGCAAAGTTTGCCAGACCGCACTTTCAGCAAATTCTGCAAGGATAACGTATTTTACTTTCTTCTGGAGACAACAGTAACCTCTGTTCTTGAACAGCATGTTTAGTATTTTACTCAGGCTGGTATACTGTGGCTGCTGTACTCCAGTGATAGAGGACAACGTTGGTCTTTAGCAGACGGTCACTTTTAGATCACTTATTTCCAGTAGATACTGGTGTTGATTGTGTATACACACTGCTGTGAAGTAAAATGGTTCAAAGACTGTTCCTGATCTTTCTTCGTAGGCGCCTAAGCCAGAGACCCACTGCAGAGGAGCTGGAACAGCGAAACATCCTCAAACGTAAGTAACACAGCTACTTTATCAGAATGTCAAAGGGATACACTGTAGTCTTCAGTACAATGGATCAAAGGGGTAAAAGCTGCTATTAAGGGAATGTGAGGATCTCTGAGGATTGCATATCTCTTGCTGTATAAATATGGCTTATGTTCCTTAATGTCTATTAAGTATTTCTAATCTGTTTGATTACTAATAAAGAAAAATAAAGTCTAGAGAATTATAGAAATAATGTTCATAGAAAAACACTAATTGTCCCACGTTTGTCATCAAATCTCAAAGGATTGAGAAGGCAAAATCTGTCTTGCATTAGATTCATCTCCAACATTCACGAGACACATATCCTATTAATTTATGTTCACATGGAATTTGATTAACATTTATCTGATTTATGAATATTATTGTAAATCACAGTATCATTTTGCAGGTGTCAATTATAACATTTAAGGCAAATTAAATTCCAAAAGTAAACTGTGTGTCAAATATGTTACATTGAACATTCTAGCTGTGAATGTAACTTTCCTGAGAGTAATTGAGGGAACAATTGTAAAGTAATTACTAAAATACTTCCCTCAAAGTAAACTTACTGAGCGAAAGCATTTCCTTTACCATTGCCAGTGAACCATTGCCTGCCTCAATTACAATACAGCACTACAGCCCTGAAAAACATTAATGGGTGCTACATGTCCTTCATTGACTAAATGAACCACATTGGGTTTAAAACCTGTTCTAGTGGTGCGCCCACCAGTAAAAGTACCTCCCAGTGTAAACAACTGGTTCTCCCAAGTAATCTGCTATGTATCATCCAGCGTCATGAGATCTTAGTTCGGACCAGAAACGTCATGAAGCAATGATATCTGGGGAGTCCAGCTCAGTGGGCTCTGGCCTGGTTTATGTGCCCTGTCCGTCCAACCATCGGTAATTGGGCCGTTGTGTCCCTGCCCTTTGGAGCTCCATCTCACAGTCACTTCACCTCACTCACTAGCTTCCTTCAAAGCCTGTCTCAAGACCCTCCTCTTCAACCATGCCTTCTGTCAACCTCCTACCCGTACCCTCTCTGTTTTCTAGTCCTCCTGATCCCAACCTCCAGCTCAGGTACAAATCCCTGACTGTCCAGCACCTTGGGACGTCCTCCTGACTTGAAAGGCGCTATACAATTGTAACTGGTTATTGTTGAGTCAGTGTGATGTTGAGAAGCTTCTCCGAGTAAAACACTAGTTTACATCAGGCGATGCTTTTGCTGGGGTCACGTAGCAATGACACAAATAGGCTGCTTTCTGAACCCCAATGTGTGATATTGGACTGCACTAATTCATTCCTGATCTGTCCTTACTGACCTGAGACCTAAAACTTCCCATGTGTTTTAGGCTTAAGTGTATATTCTTAAAATTTAACAAAATGTTAAACTAAATATTGGTGAACAGAATTTAATGCATTTTTAAGTTGAAAGCTGAATTTCCACAGTATTGCCCCAAAAAATGGAAATTAGTTTCCAAATTAGACCGTATTTAAGACTGTTTTCCAAACTTCTGCATAATCTTATAACTTTCAGACAATTTTCTTAAGTCTAAGAACATGAGGGCAAGATTGAGCTCAACTGGAATTCCTCCTGATGTCAAATTGATTGAGGACCTTTAATGTCAAGGCTCACATATTACAAATAACCTCTTGGGCAAGGCATGCAATGGTTGCCAACATGCAAACACTGTCTAAGAGGAGCAGTTAAAAGAAGAATTTAAGGCCAATTTAAGTGATGGCAGAAAATCAATGTGTAGATATGGCTATGGGATCAGCAGGAAATGAGATGAAGTGAGAAGCCATAAAACCTCAGAGGCTGATGAGCTGTAAGACAAATGTGTACTGAGGAACTTTTAATGTTAACCTCAAATCAAGCCTATGTGGAAACCCAGCAGCTGCAAAATTCCACAGTCAAGCAGGCCATGAATAGAGAGAGGATCAGAGCGGAAAATGAAAACTGTGGGGGTGGGGGGAGAACAGAACAGAAATGAAAAAGCAAAGGAAAGGAAGATCCACATGTTTAAAAGTCTGAAACATAGAAGAGAGGAGAAAAAACAGAATTCAACCCATCCCATTGTTTCCTCTTCCCCCTCTTTATACTATCTTTGAGAGGGTGAATTGGAGTCCCGCTCCTTCCCTTCCCCCACACCCTCACCAGTGTCACGCCTTGGGACAGCTTGACTGCTTTCAACCCTTGTTGCCATTAAGAAGTGCCTGACCTCTACTCAACAACCCTGCAAGGCCTCATAACTAAAACAAGCTGTGACTTATTAATGTCTTTTGGTCCATGACACAAAAGTAGCCATCATATAATAATAATAATAATAATAATCCTTGCATTTGATATAGCGCTTTTCACGTCGGGAGGAAGTCCCAAAGCGCTTCACAGAATATACTGTAAAGTGAATTGACTGTATATTTGTGGGCGAACGCGGCAGCCAATTGCGCACAGCAATGTCCCACAAACAGTCGTAGATTGAAAATGACCAATTTATTATTGTTTTGGGTTTTTTGGAGGGATTATTATTAGGCGTGTGGAGTAAGGAAACTTGCCCAAGGTTTCGCCCTGCCTGGAATTGAACCCAGGTGTCTTGCATAGCACAATGCTAAATTGTCAAAATAAAAACCATGGGAAATTAACCTGTCAACTAAAGTTAGGGTTAAAGGAAGTTGGTGGGGAAAGAGTAAAGAAGCTTTATTCTGCATCTTGCCCTTACTATTCGTGTCCTGAGTATGATTGACACCAACACAAATGTTAAATGCTGATAAATGTTATATTTTGTGTAAAGGACGTCCCTCGCTTTAGTGAACAGTTTTTTAAACTAAATTGGAGAACATCTCAAAGCATAGACATGAATTGGGAACGTAAGAAGGTATGGGAGATGGGGAAGTTGGCAGGAGCTACATTTTCAGGGAATATCAGCTGAATCAGTTAATAACATTACCGGTAGAATTCCCCATTACACGCTCATTATTTCTGAATCCCATTGAGAACCTCCATTTATTAAAACCAAATATCTCAAATGTATTTCTGTTCAGAACATAAAATCCCAGCGTCTTATTCCAGTTGATTCCCATTCTAATTATCTGATCCAGAAATTCTAAACAAATGTAGTGAATCATTTACCATGAAACATGCCGATTGCCTAGTTCAGCAGGTAGGCTACAGTCCTTAACAACAACAAAATTACATTTATATAGCGCCTTTCATGTCGGGAGGACATCCCAAGGCGCTGGATAGACAGAGTTACAGACCCGAGCTGAGGGTAAGGTTGGGGGAGCGTGGAGGGCAGGGGGAAAGAGGGAGATCAAAAGCACAGTCAAAGAGGAGGGTCTTGAGCTGGGTCTTGAAGGTGGCAAGGGAGGAGGCGAGACGGTGGGACTGTGGGATGAAGTTCCAAAGGGTGGGGGCAGAGTGGCAGAAGGCCCGCCCGCCAATAGTGGGGCAAGCAAGGCTGGGGACGTGAAGCAGGCCAGAGCTTGCTGAGCAGAGGGAGCAAACAGGATGGTAGGGGGTTAGGAGGTCGCAGAGGTAGTGGGGAGCAAGACCGTGGAGCGCTTTGAAGGTGAGGACCAGGTTTTTGAACTGTATCCTCTGTGTGATGGGAAGCCAGTGGAGTTGGACAAGGATAGGGGTGATAGGGTCACGGAGCCTAGTGCGGGAGAGGACACGGGCTGCAGAGTTCTGGATGATCTGCAGCCTGTGGAGGGAGGAGTTGGGGAGGCCGACAAGCTATGAGTTTGCATCGTCGAACCTCGATGTAATGAAAGCATGTATGAGGGTTTTAGCGACCTGCGATGTGAGGCAGTGTCATGGTGCAGATGTGGGGTAGAAAGGATAGTTGAGGATCAAACAAGAACAAAAGGTTCTGGACTGGCTTAACAAGTTGGAGTGTGCAACCATGGATGGAGATGCTGTCAGCACCTGAGGTGAGGAGGTGCTGAAGGGAACCAATCAGGAGAGGCTCTGTCTTGTTGACATTCAACTGAAGAAAGTTAGTTCTCATCCAGGACTTGATGTCCAAAAGACATTCTGTCAGGACAGCAGTGGTCCTGGATTCGAGGGTGAAGGCAGAGAGGTAGATTTGGGTGTCATCCGCATACGTGTGGAAGTTTACCCCATGTCTGTGGATGATGTCACCAAGAGGGAGCGTATAGATATTGAAGAGGAGGGGACCAAGGAGAGAGCCCTGAGGAACGCCGCATGAGACGGTCCAGGGGCTAGAGGAGAACCCATTTGAGGAGATGAAGTGCAGGCTGTGAGAGAGGTACAATCTGATCCAGTCAAGTACAGAGCCGTTGAGGTGGGAGGAGAGGCGGTGGATGAGGATAGAGTGGTCGACGGTGTCGAAAGCAGCAGAGAGGTCAAGGAGGACAAGGAGGCAGAGGAAGCCCTGGTCACAGATAGACAGAATGCCATTTGTCACTTGACCAGGGCTGTTTCCCAGAGCCTTGGGACTTTCTCCCGACGTGAAAGGCGCTATACAAATGCAATCTTTTTGTTGTTATTTCTGTGCTGTGGCCAGCACAGAAACCTAATTGGAGGGGTTCGAGAAGAGAGTGGCAGGAGAGGAAGGAGCGAAGCTGAGAAGCAACAACTCGTTCCAGGACCTTGGAGAGGAAGGGAAGGTTGGAGATGGGGCAGTAGTTAGGGAGTAGAGTAGGGTCCAGGGAGGATTTTTTTAAGAATAGGAGTGATGTAAGCAGTTTTTAATGGGGTGGGAACAGTACCAGAGGACAGGGAGAGAGTTAGGATGTCAGTGGGTAGAGGGGCAAGGAGGTGGAGCTGGAGGGTAGGGATAGGGTCAAGGAAGCAGGTGGTAGGTTTCATACGGTTATGGTGGTGATGAGAGAGAAGGGGGAGACGGGTTCAAAGGTGTGGAGGGAGGGATGGGTAGGGGCCAGGGTGGGAGGAGGAGATGGGGCGGGGGTAGCATATGCAGTGGCAACTGAACGGATTCTCTCGGCTTTGGATTCGAGGAAGTTCAGCATCGCCTCGCAGTTAAGCCCTGAGGAGTAACTGAGGATGTTCCCATTCAACTTCCCATTGAATTTGTGCAACCTCTTTTTGGTTGTCGATGTGTGTTCGGACTACAGCTTCCCTCAGCTTCATTTTGAATTAAGTGTCCAATAAGTATCATGAAACGTGCATATCAGGTTTCTGCCCATGTATTACAATGTGATATGGATTTTGGATTGAGCACAAGTTAAAGGCCAATAATAATGGGAACCTAACCACCGACAGTAATCATTTTACATAGTGAGTTAAAGGCCACAAGATAGCTGGAGTTACCAGTATTGAATTTGCAGTAGCAACATTTGCAAAGGGAGCAATGAATAATGATGGGCCAATTGATTCCTTTTTATTTTGAAAATCTGCAGTGATTTGGCAACTCTGTTAACAGTTTATTAATTTATCTCTTTAGCAAGAAATGAGCAGGAAGAAGAGGAGGAAAAGCGAGAGATTAAAAGAAGACTGACCCGAAAGGTGAGTGCTAACCATGGTAGATTGGGTATGATTGGAAGCTACGGGAATAGATAGCAGGGCACTATGTTTAATAGTATTGTAGGATGAGATTTCATTGTAACTAATACTGCAATAAAACATTTTTGACACTGACGTGTATTCCATGCTCCAGCAGCATGACCACTGGCAAAAATACCAGCAGCATAAACGTATTTTCTCCAGGGAATCCCCTGTATGACACGCATACACACTTGGCTTAATCTCAATTTCTCATTGGAGCTAAAGTCTTGTGATTCTTTGAGAGAATTCCCTGAAACAAACACTTTTTACTTTAACTTCACGGGTCCTTTTACTACTATAAAACAGCAGTAATACCACTGGACCCCTTTTTGGAGGTCAGTCTTTTGCACTTTGCTGTCATCATTCAACTGTGCAGCCACACAGATTTTGTTTTAGTCAGCCAGGTGTTTGGCACATGCAGAAGCCTATCATCATGCTTCAGAGTATCCAGAATAAACCTACACACACAAAATAAATTGGTCACTCAATCCATGACTGTTTGTCTGCTCTGCACAATTGGCTGCTGTGTTTTGGCCACAAAATATACAGTCAATCCACTTCACAATATATTCTGTTAAACGCTTTGAGTCGTCTCAACGGCGTGATAAGGCTTGATGAAATGCAAGGATTATTATTATTACGCATGTAAATTGCCCTATATGTGGCAATTCTTCCTGGAGGGAGGCAACCTGCTTAACTAATTTCATAGAGTATTAAGTGCATGTTGACAAGAGCCAAGGCATGGAGACCCCAGAGTGTGCACTGGGGTACTGCTGGAGTTTAACCAGCTAAAGCCAAATGGCTTGCCATTGTGAACATTGTTCCGCAAGCTTTTCACTGCTTGTGCTAGGACAACCTACTTGTAAGCGCTCTGAGACACTACCCTTTGTGGAGGGCGCTATATAAGTGCAAGTTGATGTTGTATGGACTTGTGGGGTTAACAGGAGCTGAGTGGGAAGAATCCCTGTTCCAGTGACTGGTCTGCCCCACCAAATCCTGTGTTGAGCCAGACTGGCTAGTCTGTCATCAACAGTCCCTTGGAATACTGCAGCCCCCCCCCCCCCCCCCCCGGCTCAGGAACCAGACTACTGTGGGAAAGGGGGAGAGATTCAAGCATCTGCTTTATAAGAACTGGATGTATATTAAGCATATATATATATATACGCTTTGCTATGCAATGTTTTGCACTTTTTAAAAACTCATAATGACCAGATAAAAACTGACCAGCCCAAAGCCCTACATATAACTTACATCTGAACAATGTGGAATTTCTGAACAAATTTAGGTGTGAATTTGGGTAGTGTGTGACGACACATTTTGCAAGAATAACAGGAATATTCATGGAGTAAGGCAAAATCTGTTTATTTTCACATTTTAGATTGATATCCAACTGCATAGCTTGTTATGCACAGTATTATATCTGTAGCAGTGACATTACAGTGCACTGCAGAAAAACCCTGCTTTCACCCTGATACCAAAAATATCAATTTGTGTCCAGTCTCTATTATCTAGTTATAAATTACCCAAGGTGTGTTGGGAATATTTGCATTCATATTGTGTGCCTAGGTCTATATTTATTTTATTGCAGTGACTCGTTCTTTCCCTCTTTATTTACACCCATCAAATTTTACAAGAAACAGGGCTGAAAAGACTGCTACTGCACAAATTTATTACAATCAATCTATCATTTGTCCAAAAGTTTTGTGATGTGAAATAGTATGAAACTTCCAAGGTGACGATGACAACAGTAATAATAACAATAGTCCTTGCATTCACTATCACACCTTACCACGTCATTGAGATTCACGTCACACTGAGTCTCAAAGCACTTTACAGAATATAGTGTGAAGTGAATTGACTGTGTATCTTATGGGGGAAAACAGCAGCCAATTGCACACAGTAGTGTTCCACAAACAGTCCTGGATTGAGTGACAATTTATTTTTTGCGGCGGGATTGTCACGTCCAAAAAGCGATCTTGTCAGTTGACGAGCAGCTCGTCTAGGTAAACAGAGGCATGTGGAGTAAGGACACTTGACTAAGGTTATTCCCTGATTATTGTTGTTATACACTTGTATCTCAACAAATATATATAGAAAACCGTCATCCGATCCCAATAAGGCACTTTACCTCTCTGTTTACTCAGTTCTCATATACCACCACTGAAGTATAGTGACAATGTTATAGTCCCAAAACACAAAATACTGCAGATGCTGGAAATCTGAAAACAAAAACAGAAGTCGCTGGGAACATTCAGCAGGTCAGGCAGCAGCTATGGAGAAAGGAAAGTCAGTCAACATTTTGGGTCCATGACCCTTCGGCAGAACTGAGTTCATGATACAGTCCCAACCCTGGCTTCCTGAGCATAGCCTGCAAGCAGTGAGGCTCAGTGATGTCAGCCCAGAAGTGCTGACTATAACCTGCTCGATTATAAGGTTCTTATTTTATAGATCCATATAGTGGCTTTCCACTAAAAGATATTTTTCCATCTAATGTCAACATTGAAGAGAAAAATGATAATTTAATAAGATCTATTCATTTCTGTTGTGGTTTTTGGCAATATTATAAAAGTGATCTGGTTTACACAATGAAGTGACTTCTTACAATTCACACATAAAACCCTACTAATCCTCAATTTTAATTCCTGGAAATTATTAAATGAATAATCTCTGCATCCTTACATGGTATTACATCCCTTTAATGATAATAATAATAATCCTTGTATTTGATGTAGCACTTTTCACATGTATATGTCTCAAAGTGCTTCACAGAATATACTGTACAGTGAATTGCTGTAGCTCAGTGGTTAGAGCACTCGTTTTGCAAGCAAGAGACCTGAGTTCAATTCCAGGCAGGGCGAAACCTTGGGCAAGTTTCCTTACTCCACACACCTAATAATAATCCCTCCAAAACAAAACAATACTAAATTGTTCATTTTCAATCTACGACTGTTTGTGGGACATTGCTGTGCGCAATTGGCTGCCGCGTTTCGCCCTCACATATACAGTCAATTCACTTTACAGTATATTCTGTGAAGCACTTTGAGACGTCTAGAAGATGTGAAAAGCGCTATATCAAATGCAAGGATTCTTATTATTATTTGTGGGAAAAACGCGGCAGCTAATTGCGCACAGCAGTGTCCCACAAACAGTCGTAGATTGAAGTGACCAAACTGTTATTTTATTTATTTCCTTGAGGGATTATTATCAGGCGTGTGGAGTAAGGAAACTTCCCCAAGCTTTTGCCCTGTCAGGAATCAAACCCAAGTCTCTCGCTTGCGAGGCGAGTGCTCTAACCACTGAGCTACAGGACTCTACATTTTAATCTTCAAACAAGACATCAACATTGTCAATGCAGACAAAAAAATCCACTCTTAAGAAACAGTTGGGTGCTTGCTCATGAATTGAAGGCACTGATCTAACCAAGAATTTCAGACAATGAATATAAGTAACTCAGCCCTCATACTGGTGGACTATTGCCTGACCTGAAGCCTGAATTCTTGGTTGTAAAATACTGATCAGATTTCATTCTCCTTTGAGTGATGGTTGGGTTCTGGTTGTACTTGTCTTTTCCATCAGCTCCAGTAATTATGTTTGGAATCTCTTTAATTTTATCCCAATTTGATGTCACGCAAATAGGTACCAACTGTTGCTGTTGTGTTCTGTACATATTGTACTGTCTGAGCACAGTAGCTTATGACCTGAGGTCAAATAGTATCTTTTGGAAAATCCCAGTGTATTCAACAACAACTAACTAGAGCAGTGGTTGATGTAATGGAATTAGCAACTGTTAAAAAAAAAGAGTTACTATACCAGCGGTGTCCTAAATCAAGGAGTCTTAAAAACTGAGGAACAAAACATTAACATTTTCCTAATGATAGTGTATGTTTTAATCTTAAAATATATAATCTTCAAGAAGACCTGTCCTGTCTCCCAAGAACAATATTTTTGGTCTTTATCTCGCAGTATCTCGTCTGCCACAGAGACACTGTTAATCTGTCAGTGAGTGGGTATGACTAATGTAGATATTCAAAGAAAAGGTTATGAAAAGACAATCTATAGCGTGTGACACACTGAGTTAAATGCGGCTGTCACCATTCAATATTTTGTTTAAATTGGGTGAGTTGTTAGTGTTGACAACAGTGGAAGCTAATTTGCAATACATGTTTGCAAAGGGATGGGAAGTACTAAGTATGATTTCTGAAAGCTGCCAAAATGTGAAACAAGGTGGGAAAGCAAGATATCGCCTCCCCAGGGCTGTCTGTTTCACATTTATCTGCTACAGTTTAGGTGCTAGGCACAATTTGGATACAATAGCAAGTCCATGATCAGTTAATTTAGCTTTGAGTATTTTGTATCTCTCAACCTGAAAGGCGTTATACAAGTGTAAATTATATTGTACTAGCTGTACCCGTTGCAGCTACCTTTGCAACCAGTTTCATTTAATCGACCATCTCTCTTTCGTCTGACATTTTTATTTGTCATTGAAAGGCTTTATCTTCGCTTCTTAGGCATCTTTATCCCTTACGATTAATAAAATGTGCTATTGAACTCGTTAGCATCCCTTATTCATATATTTGCACACATATCCTTTTGGGAGGACTCCTGCGGGAGGACTCAGTAGGAAGGCTCTTGTTGGGAGGACTCCTGGTTGGGAGGATTCTTTGTTGGAGTCCAAACATGTGTGATGAGCTTGTTTAGGTCACATTAGGAGATCCCCGAAAAAAAATATGCCCAGGACACCCCCACATGCAAGATCTTTCCGATGAGGTATAAATCATGTTTCTACATCAATTTCTACTTCCCCTCCCTCCCTCCCTGGTGAATGTCCTCGCATGGCAGCATAGCACAGGAATTGGGAGGACGCAGCGCGGAGAGTGGAAATAATATCAGCCGTTACTGCAGTCTTTGAGGAAAGTAAGCGCATCTTTTACCAACCGTGTCCTTGGCAACCTCCGGCTTCTGTCACTGCAGATAGTGATAGCCGTGCGGCTGATTAGGAGAGAGAGGGGAAGGGAGACACTGTCTCCTTTCCCCACTTTCTCTCTACCCCGTCTCTCTCACACACACTCTCTCTCAATTACTCTCTCTCACTCCATTTCTCAAACCCTCTTGCACTCTTTTCCCTCTCACACTCCACCCTTCTCCTCTCTCTTTCTCACACTCTCTCCCTCTCTCAATTACACTCTCTCACTCCCCTTCTCTCCCACACGTCATAAATAATGACTCTCTAACCCCTCTCAAAGTCTCTCAATCACCCTCAATAATAATAATAATACTTGCATTTAATATAGGAAATCTATATTTCTTACTTATCACGTCGTTGAGACGTCTCAAAGCACTTCACAGGATATATTGCAAAGTGAATTCACTGTATTTTGTGTGCAAACTGAATGTTTTTTTCTAGCTTAGCCAAAGGCCGACTGTGGAGGAGCTGAGGGAGAGAAAAATCCTGATTCGTTTCAGTGACTATGTAGAAGTAGCTGAGGCCCAGGACTATGACAGACGTGCAGATAAGCCGTGGACCAGGTTAACAGCAGCTGACAAAGTAAGACATCTCCTACTACTGAAGTGTTTAGAAGCATTGATGTGCTGGTCAATGTTAAGAATATCACTGTGCACTGTATGCTGAAAAGATTAGAGAACATAAGTGGTTGCTACACAGGAAAGAATACGATCACTATCAGTGTCTTATTTAATGTGGAAAATGTGTTATTGCAAAAACATCACAATGGCTAAAGTCATCAACAGTCGAATAAAGCAGTCTCAAACTTGTTCAAAATCCACAAGTTTTACTCGTGTAACGGTTTGGGAATTGACGCATGGCGTGTACTGTGTACAGTGTTTTTTAAGTGTTTGAGATGACACATCACAACCAAGAAACAAATCACAGCAAGAACAAACTTCCACAGTACATCAGCAGTTCCAAGCATACCAGGTCACAACAGCCAATAAGCTGGGTGGGAGATTAAATTTCATTCAAACAATCAAATTCAAGATAAGTGATGGTAACAGCTCTTTTTGCTAAAGATTCCTATAAACTACTGGTAGTGGAGTGCTGTAGCTTAGTTGCTAAAACACTCATTTCACAAGGGTTGAGACCTGGGTTTGAGTACCGGGCAGGACAAAATATTGGGGAAATTTCTTTACTCCACACCCCTCTGTGTACCTAGGAGTAAATTGGTTGTTAGTCGATTGGCGGATCGCTTTTCCGGGCATAATAATCCCTTAAAAAAATAATAACTTGATTACTCAATCCATGACTGTGGGACACTGCTGTGCACAACCGGTTACAGCAATGTATACAGTCAATTCACTTTACAGTATATTCTGTGAAGCACTTTGAGACGTCTCAAAGACGTGTTAAGGCGATATATAAACTGCAAGGATTATTATTATTGATTGCAAACTTAGAATATTTTTGTACTCGCTCTGCACTGCAGTGATGTGAATGTTTTCATTCCCACAACAAATAGGATTTCCTTAAGTGTGATTTCCAAATGGTGTTGAAACTGGACACATTTCTGATTATGGATGCATAATCACCAGATACTGTATTGAGATTATCCAGTTTTATGACTTTAAGGGGGATGTAATTCTGGAGACCGAAATGTTGGGAGAGGAAAGACCAGGGTAGACTTTATTTTTGTGCTTGGAGGTATAGCCCAGCTATTTTCTACATCTAGTAGTTTACTGACCGCAGCATTCAACAAATAGATAGCCACAGAACCGATCAGGAATGGAGTGGCCATAATAGCATGTACTCAGGCAAGAAGTTTTCAGCCATACCAGTGGCACAGAGGGGCCACAGCATCTACAGCAGGCTGGTGCTCTGAAAGATCGACAGAGCTGGGTACACCCACAATATGATATCTTGAGATCATACTTCGGGTTATTTTTTAACTTAATTGAAATTTTCACAAACTTGACCATTGTCTTAAAATTTTAGATTATGCAGAATTCACTCTGAATTTTTTTTAAAGACTAGGGAAATCTGGCTTCTAAATTAAGATTGAATTTAAGAATTTTCTGCATGGTCTTAAGGCTAATATCATGAAGATTTTATTGCATCTGATCCAGCAGAAATCTTCATAAACTCAAACCGATTCTTTTCAATTTCAGGCTGCTATCCGCAAAGAGCTGAATGAATTCAAGAGCACTGAAATGGAAGTGCATGAGTTAAGTAGGCACTTAACAAGGTAGGTATATCTAATAATTAATGGAATTTATTAATTATTTAGCTAACAGGGTGACAAATAATGTGTCCTAAAACTTTAATTACTGTTTTCCTTTCAGGTTTCACAGACCCTAGCTGTTTTGCTATATACAACTGCAGGGAGTCTTATCTAAGTGCTAGGACTGTACTGATGTCCATAAACCCCACCTAGGAGAGAATCTTCTGAATTGCCTTTGTGTGTCAGACACTGTACTGTATTGGGCACTTTCTACATCTACCATTCTACTGACCTTCAGGAGTCAACAGAGCATTCAAGAGTTTGGATCAAATGCGCCACTTCCAAACATCAATGGCTGTATCCAGGCTTTCAGTACTGTCATTCAGCATTGTCTTGGTCTGTCTTGTTATTTATTACTCTGAATGTTGCACAATGATGAAATCTCAATAAGTCTCTTTAACGTCATCACTTGCAGGATGGAGCTAAGACAGCAGTTTGTGCTCTAGAATTCCACAATCTCGTCAGTCAGTCACTGCACTCTCTCGCTTGTGACCTGAACTCTCAAATAACCAGCATCCAGGAAATGAGTGGCTGGTTATTTTGCACCTCTTTCATCTTAGTCATTGACTGCAGTTACACATGCGGGTATATGGAATGTATCTCCTGCTAAGCGTTCTTGTTCCGGGAGATTTGCTGGAAGGAGTAAACTGCACTGTATATTTTACAATAAATATCTGGTTATTTAGAGTAAAAAGAGATGATGCTTTAGATAACAATAAGCAGCAATTGGCCTAAATGTATCAATAACACACTATACTGCACTTAGCTAAACCTGCTCTGGGAAAGCCCTGATGGATGTGCAGGTTATCTGCAGTTGGTGTAAAAGTACTGCTGCACTGGTAATGAAAATGGCTTCTTTAATACACAAATTAAGCCTGAAGTTCCACTTTATTTTTATCCTTTAGGACTATTTTGTCCTAAAATTAAAGATCATCCAGAATTATGGAAAAATCTTGAAATTAGCCTTGATTTGGAAGTGTTTTTCAGTCCATGAGAAGATCTGGCAACAAAATTAAGACTGAATTTAAGCATTTTCCACGTCACCTTAAATTTTAAGATAAAATAGTCTTACAGGTTAGATGATATGGAGATTCAGCCAATAATATATGCCTTGAGCTCTGTGTATGTAAGAATATTTTCCTTCTCTTATAGGTTGTGTTAATATAGCATAATAAACACAGTTGCACTTACAAATAACTAACCTTAAAAAATAATAATTTAAGGATAACTGTGGACCTGTAACATTGTGTTGAGGTTCAATGTAAATTATTACCTTTATACTATGGCATAGTTTCATAAGGAAATGGGATTCTTTGCAGAGTTGACCACTGCAGGTGTATGGTAAAGTCCCAATTCTAAATTTAGAACCCTTTAGTAAACACTCCTTTACCCAAAGAACTGGGATATATAAAGACTATACAACATGATAGGTTGGATTTAGTGATAGCAAAGCATGTCTCTGTTGCTGGAAAAAATATTTGGGTAGGATATTGAAAAGAAGGGACCCACCTACAATATATTACTTACTCTAGCTGCACTTTGCAAGGATGACCCTTTATTTACAAGGAATGCCGTTTTGTACAGAGACAGTGAATGGTAGTGTGAATCTGAGCACACGTTTCAGTTGTAGTCATAAAGTGTTTACCAGCCCAGGCTGAACATTTGTGAGCAGGAGATGCAATAATCAAACAGTGCTGTCCTAAGACAAAATGTCCTATGATATGATCAATCCGCAGAACTTCATCAGCCAGCACATGTTCACTTAATTCAATTAGTTATGTTCGTGTCATGTTCAATTAGTTTAATAACTCGTCAATGTGCCAGTACCATAACTGATCTTGGACACAGTGGCTGTATCAGTTGAAATCCTTCATTCACCATGTTTGTGGGAGAGTCGGTTACAGAATTTAGAGTCCTTCAGAGGCACCCAACTCTGTTGCATAGTCTATATTTGGGTTTTATCACAAAGATAAACACTTGAATGGTTAATTCCCATTTCATGTCATTATTTAGTGAACCGGAATCTCTAGAATGACTGTATTAGAAATACAACTGGTGGAAGATTTACAAGTTGCTTGAAGTGGCCCTTGTTTAGGAGCCAAAATGTTAGCATACAGCTGGCTTAATTCATTCCTTTTCCATTTTAAGCAAACCTGTTGGTTCAACACCCTTGGAAATTGATGGTAATGACTCGGCTACTCCACAAGAGTTTAGCCAATTGTTTTCCATGTACATTTGTTAAACTGCTGTCCTGCTGAAACTGCACTTCACAGTATGTTTTCATCTCTGTCGTCCCCACTACTCTGGTCCTGCTCCGTGATTCTGAACAAACTGTGAATTCTCTTGAGGCTGAGTGTTTGTATATAGATGTCTTTGTAAAGGAGTGAATGTTGTGGCTGTCCTACCCTGTGCTCTTCCAGTATTGTACAATTTTTTTAATCGATGTATGAAAATTGTAAATAACCATAAAAACTATTGAGTCTTTAATTTTGTTGTTCTAAGCTTTGCCATTTGTACATACTAAAAGCTGCATGTATAACTTCAATTACTGTGTACAAGTTTGTCTCAAATGATGTATACAGTTTCTTAAAACTAAACCTTATTTAAGAAAAAAAAAGTTTTTTTTAGTGGTTGGTATTCAACAACTGTTTTTACACAAAAGGAGCTGAAATTTAGAGTTTGGTGAAATCTAATTTTTGCTACATAACTCAAGCTTTGGTCCATTAAAAGTGAAAACTTTAAACAAGACAAAATGGACTTACTTTATTTTGACCGTGATTTGATGTAAACTTCTCTAAAGCTTCATCCACGTAGGTAGTACAACCTTGTTTGTGGGATACCATGGTGTGCAATTGGCTAACGTGTTTCGCCAACAAAATATACAGTTAATTCACTTTACAATATATTCTGTGAAGTGCTTTGAGTCGTCTCTCAGAAGTGACAAGGCCCTATATGAAATGCAAGTATTATAAATTAAACACTGCAGTTGTATGGTGGGCTAATAGGTGGTAGAAGTGTTCAATGTGGATTGCTGACAAATAATCAGTGCAGTAACAAAGAACCAAAACAGGCCTTTACATTGTGATGATTGCAGGTTATTGTGGTCAAATATTAGGAAACTTGTCAGCTCACAGCCATTCACAGTAAAGTCATAAGGTCTAGGATCTAAGGTCTAAAGTGCCTGATTATTTTTGTTATAAAATAGTTGTGAATGTGAATGCATCCATATTTACGTTCACAAATTTGAGCATTTTCTGATGGCAACAACAACAACATTACATTTGTTTAGCACCTTTCACGTTGGGAGGACATCCCAAAGCTCTGGCCAATCAGTGTTTCGTACCCGAGCTGGGGGTTGGGATCGGGGAGGGTGGAGGGCAGGGCCATAAGGAGGGTGAACAAAGGCATGGTTGAAGAGGAGGGTCTTGAGATGGATCTTCAAGGAAGCAAGGGAGAGGGCGAGGAAGGAGGGATTGTGGGATGAAGTTCCAGAGGGTGGGTGTAGAGTGGCAAAAGGCCCACCCGCCAGTGGTGAGGTGGAGGACGTGAAGCAGGCCAGAGCACCCTGAGCGGAGGGAGCAAGCAGGATGATGGTGGGTTAGGAAGTCGCAGAGGTAGGGGGGAGCAAGGCCAAGGGGGACTTTGAAGGTGAGGACCAGGATATTGAACTGTATCCTCTGTGTGATGGGAAGCCAGTGGAGTCAGGGAGGATGGGGGTAATAGGGTTGCGGAGCAGGAGTGTGAGAGGACACGGGCTGCAGAGTTCTGGACGATCTGCAGCCTATGGAGGAAGGAGTTGAGGTTGATAAGCAGGGAGTTTGAGTATTTGAGCCTGGATGTTATGAATGCATGTATGAGGGCCTGTGGTGTGAGACAGTGGAGGAGCCGGGCGATGTTGCGGAGGTGGGGGAAAGCAGAGCGAGTCATGGCACGGATGTCGGGTAGAAAGGATAGTTAAGGGTCAAACAAGATACCAAGGTTCCGGACCGGCTTAGTAAGGTGAGTGTGCATCCTTGGATAGTGATGCTGTCAGTGCCTGAGGTGTGGAGGTGCTGACGGAGCCAATCAGGAGAGCCTCGGTTTTGTTGACGTTCAACTGCAGAAAGTTAGCTCTCAATCCAGGACGATTTCTGACAGACTTTCTGTCAGGACAGCAGTGGTCCTGGAGTTGAGGATGGAGGTAAGAGAGGTAGGGGTGTCACCCGCATACATGTGGAAGTTGACCCCATGTCTGCAGATGATGTCACCGAAAGGGAGCATAGATATTGAAGAGGAGGGGACCAAGGACAGAGCTCTGAGGTACTCCCCGAGGGCTAGAGGAGAAGTCGTTTGTGGAGATAAAGTGGAGACGATGTGAGAGGTGGGATCTGAAGCATTCAAGGACAGAACCATGAAGGTTGAGGTGAGAGGAGAGGCGGTGGAGGAGGATAGACTGGTCAGTGGTATCAAAGTCAGCAGAGAGGTCAAGGAGGACAAGGAGGCAGAGGGAGCCCTGGTCGCAGATGGACAAAATGTCATTTGTCCCTTTGACCAAAGCTGTTTCTGTGCTGTGGGCGGCACGGAAACCTGGTTGGAACGGTTCATGAAGGGAGTGGTGGGAGAGGAAGAAGCGAAGCTGGGAAGCAACGACTCTTTCCAGGACCTTCAAGGAAAGAGAGGTTGGAGATGGGGTAGTAGTTTGAGAACAGGAATGGGTCTAGGGAGGGATTTTTAAGAAAGGAGTGATGACAGCTGTTTTTACGGGGCTGGGAACTGTGCCAATGGAAAGGGAGAGGTTTATGATGTCTGAGTAGGGGGCAAGAAAGTGGAGCTGGGAGGTAAGGAGAGGATTGGGGATGGGGTCGAGGGAGCAAGTTATCAGTTTCATGTGGGTTACAGTGGTGGTGAGAGAGGGAGACACGTTCAAAGGTGTGAAGGGAGAGATTGGTAGGGGCCGGGGTGTCAGTAGGAGATGGGGAGGGGATAGTGGTCGGAAGGGCAGAGACAGCTGAGCAGGTCCCCTCTACTTTAGTTTCTAGGAAGTCGAGCCTCTCCTCGCAGTTGTCGTTGGAGGAGAGGATGGGCGAGGCGTGAAAGTGTGGGCAGAGGAGCTGGTTGGTGTTGGAGAAGAGGAGCCTGGGGTTATCCTTGGCCTCCAAGATTGTCTTGGCGTAGAAGGACGATTTAGTGGTGGTGTGGGCGGAATGGTAAGATTTGATAAGTTCCAGCCAGATCTGCCGAAGCACTGTTAAGTTGGATTTGAGCCAGTTGCAGTGGCACGTTCAGTGGCACTTGTTCAGTGGTACGAACCTGAACTTTAAGGGAGTGGAGGTGGCTGGTGTACCACAGTGACTTCCGTGAGTAGGAGACGGTTCAGGAAGTGAGGGTTCTAAGGGCATCGAGAGTGGTGGAGAGGGGTTGTGGAGGAGAGTGACCGAGGAGAATAGGCCATTGCGGGAGGAAGCCCAGAGGGGGAGGGGTTCAGATGACTCCAAGGCAGCGGAGAGATAGTAGGGGGAGATTTTTTTCAGGAGCGATAGGAGATGGAGTTGGGTTGGGTGGGCGATTGAGGGGTTAAGGGACCCATTTGAGGAGTTAAATGTTGATGTTAAGGCTGATAACTAATCCTGATTCGACACAAGTGCATCCAACCCATCACAAAGATTTCATAATTACTTATGAAGCAATAATTGCTCTGGTTTTTAAACTCTGAAAAATACATTTGCTCAAGGACATTGCAATACATTTAATTTAATACATTAAGGGAGTCATCTCAAGGACAAGTCTCTGTAACAAATCAGAACAAGTCAAAGCTTTACCTAAGCTGATTACCTCAAATCACCTCCTCTAACATTAGAGCAGCAAATTTCTGACTTTTCAGCCAATTTGGAAGAATTATATAGCCTAAGAAGTCCTGGTCAAGAACAACAACAACAAATTATACTTGTCTAGGGCCCTTCACGTCGGAAAGATATCCTAGAGCACTGGACAATTATGTTTTGGATCCGGGCTGGGAGTTGGGGTCAGGAGGGGTGGAGGGCATTGGGGGTGGGAGGGTCACCGAAGGAAGGCATGGTCGAGAAAGAAGATTTTCAGACGGGACTTGTCCGCTGAGTGGAGGGAGCGGACAGGCTGATATGGAGGTCACAGAGGCTTTGAAGGTGAGAATGAGAGCTTTGAATTGATTCTCTGCGGGATGGGGAGCCTGTGAAGCCAGAGAAGAACAGGAGTGATTGGTTTGCGGAGCCTGGTGCAGAAGAGTACACGAGCTGCGGAGTTCTGAGTCATCTGCAGCTTGTGAGGGTAAGAGTTGGGAAGTCCAGGAAGCAGGCAGTTGGCGTTGTCAAGCCAGGACATGATGAAAGCTGAGGGTCTCGGCAGCCTATGGTGAGAGGCAGTGGCAGAGGTGGGCAATGTTGCAGAGGGGGGGAAAGGTGGAACGAATCACAGCACAAATGTGGAGTTTAAAGGAAAGCTGAGGGTCAAACATGTTCCATAATGGCTCAGTAAGGTGAAGAGTGCACCCATGAGGTGAGGAGGCGCTGATAATAATAATAATAATAATAATAATAATAATAATAATAATAATAATCCTTGCATTTGAGATAGCGCTTTTCACGTCGGGAGGACGTCCCAAAGCGCTTCACAGAATATACTGTAAAGTGAATTGACTGTATATTTGTGGGCAAAAGCGGCAGCCAATTGCGCACAGCAATGTCCCACAAACAGTCATGGATTGAAAGTGACCAATTTATTATTGTTTTGTTTTGGGTGTTTTTGGAGGGATTATTATTAGGCTCTGTGTGGAGTAAGGAAACTTGCCCAAGGTTTCGCCCTCTGCCTAGAATTGAACTCAGATCTCTCACTTGCAAAGCGAGTGCTCTAACCACTGAGCTACAGGACTCCAGGACTGATGGGAGCCAAGCAGGTGGGCCTCTGTCTTGCCAACATTCAGACAGAGGAAGTTGGCTCTCGTCCAGGACTTGATGTCTGACAGATAATTTGCCAGAACAGCATTGGTCCTGGAGTTGAGGTGAAGGCAGCAAGATAGAGTTGGGTGTCATCCACATACATGTGGAAATTTACCCCATGACATCACTGAGCAAGAACTACTGAGATGGCGTTCAGAAGTACAACTTGTAATACACAAGTGGAATGGAGATACCAAGCAATATGCTTAGTTCTCATTTCATAATTATTGTTAAAGGATAGAACCAGGTTTATCACCATATTAAAAAAGCACTTGGTCTTTCACTTTACAGGTGACATACGTGTGTTCCGAGTTCTGCTCGAATTGTGATCCATTATAAACGTTTTTTTTCTCCTGGCAGGATAAGCCATTTTCAGAATCAAAGCTCACAACACAATCCTGTTTTCACATCATTTATGGAAAGCACATTTACTAGCATAACAATTAGGAATGGGAAGCCTGGCTGACTTCTTACTTCTTATCCAAAGGGTGTTACTGCCAAATGGACTCCCTTTACTTCTGCTTCCACTTGAGTTCAATTAATTCTTATGTATGGAAAACTCATCCCATTTGTTAATGTTAAGAATACCTCCAGAAAAAGAAACAATAGCTCAGTTGCTTCAATTAAAGCAGCCCTTTAAAATACAATACTATGTTAAATAATCCAGTGACTCATCCACTTTAAATAAATTGAGCAATTTCAACTGAATGACCAATTTATGTTTTATTTGGAAGGGCTGCACTGCCCTCTGGGGGTTCT